CTCGGGGAGTTCGTCCTCTACTGCTGGGAGATCTCGAGGGAGGACGAGGTGAGTCCGGAGTGTGTGTGTGAGAGAGAGAGGGGGGAAGGGAGGGTGGAAAGGAGAGGGAGAGGGGGATGGAGAGAGAGAGAGGGAGAGGGGGATGGAGAGAGAGAGAGGGAGAGGGGGATGAAGAGAGAGGGAGAGGGGGGGGAGAGAGGGAGAGGGGGATGAGAGAGGGAGAGGGGATGGAGAGAGAGAGGGAGAGGGGGAGAGGGGAGAGGGGGAGAGGAGAGGGAGAGGGGATTGAGAGAGAGAGGGAGAGGGGGAGAGAGAGAGGGAGAGGGGGATTGAGAGAGAGAGGGAGAGAGGGGATTGAGAAGAGAGGGGGGGGAGGAAGGGAGAGAGGGAGGAGAGGAGAGGGAAAGAGAGAGAGAGAGAGAAGCTTCTTCATAAAATATATTGGTGTGCATACTTCGCAGTGACAATACGAGTACTAAGTCCCATCTCGAAGCCGCTGCAAGCGCTAGTCTCACCGCCGTTTCTTATTTCTCTCCCAGAAATCGTTAATATCCGTCCTGAGCGAGGAGTTGGTCTTCGTCTTCCAGTGCAAAGGGTCGACGAAGCCCGTGAAGAAAGAATCCGAGACGGCAGCCGTGGACAACATGTACGGGTCCGACGTGTACAACTGCAGCGGCAGAAATCCACTTACCTGATTCCCGGAAGTGGCGTCAGCCTATGACGTCACAGTCGACCATCACCCCGACCAGTGGCCGATTCCCAGCTACGAGCCCCCACCCCCCTCCCCAACCTGAACGCATCGACGGTCACCCAGAACACACCCACGCTCCGTCGGAACTCTTCCTCCGCCGCCAGTTAGGGTTTCTCCCCCTCGCCCACCCGCGCCGGCCGAAAGCCTTCGCCCTCGCCCGCGACGGCCCAGAGCGAGGACCCCGAGGCCGAGGGACGCAAAGGAGGACCTGGCAGCGGCGGGAATCCCGGCGACCGCCTGGGGCGTTGCGGCCGGGTCGGCTAGCTTGCTGCGAGGAGCTGCGGACTTTGGGGTGTGGATTGTACTCAATAGATCTGTGTATATTATGCATAAATACATACACACGTAGATACACGTGTATGTACTGTATGTATGTGCAATTCATATTTTTATTGTATAAACTTCTAGGTCTTTCTCCTCGAACTTTTGGAAGAGTTCGAGGACTTAACTGGATCGGAGGCCTACAAGTTCCATTTTATATATACACTTTTTGACTATACTTATTTAGATAAGTTATGAAATAATCTGCCAGATATGTTATCAGATTTGTTTGAAGTTACTGAAGTCGGTGCAGACGCCCATGCACTGGGAGATAAGTGTAAGGAATTGTCTACAGTATTTTGTTTTTGAAATCACGATCAGTATTTTACACATAGGACTATATCGCGAATGTTGCGCCGAAAGCTGTCATATATGGCAAGTCATATATTGCGTGAGCCGCACCACGGATCTTGGGCTTTGGTGTTCTTCGTGAATCCGTACATATCAAAACTCGTTAAAAAAAAGTTGTTTTGAAGAAGAAAACGTTCATCACATCTTGTTGTGCTATATTTCCAATGCCCGTTATTTTACCATACCGCATGTGGCATGGTAATATTTCCCATGTCTGTGTTTTTTGAAGGCATGAGCTTCAGAATTTACGCGAGTGAAATGCTATTAGCGTCTCTTACCATATCCAGTAGCTAACCCTAATTGCACTCAAACACAACTTGTTTGAGTGCATGCACACATGTGTACACTTCTTCCTTTTATAACTCCTGTGTGTTATTACATTCAACACAGTTATGAATGTGTGCATATGCTCTGAGAAGGTAACTATTGGTTTGATCACAACATGGATTTGGTAGTTGTATTCATACCGATATTTATTGCAATGCCTTCGTCGATATTATCGGTATTAGTAAAAAAAAAATAAAAATAATAATGATAAAAAATATCACTACACACCGCAGTAATGATTTCTCTGAAAGAATGAGAACATTTTCTTTGTTGAATGATAAATGGTAGAAGCCATTACGCACTCCCTGGTTGAGCTTGTCAAGGCTTTCGAAGAAACTGTTTCGGAGTACTTGGAAAGGGAGAAAATAATTAATGTTAAACATTATAAATATTGACCATTGTATTCTTTTGGAATCAAACGCCCTTTTTATCTTTGACATTACGGAATCTCAATTTTGTGTGTGCGTTAGATTACGTGGCAATGTGTTTATATTAGTGACACTAATTTCGTTCATTTCCTCCACACCTCACCAATGACTTGTTATTCATTTCTTACTGTTCATCTCCTTCATCAAACTCATTTAATGCTAGGTGTCAACTTGGTGAAAACTGCTTCATTTCATTTCCAAGGCCTTCCCTGCAGTTTGGAATCTACTGTTGAAAAGGTAATTTTTTCCTCACATGTTTTAGGCTTGGAGACACCCGTGGGTTACGCCCCTATGATGCTGTAAATGATCACTACTTGTTTAC